CTAACGTTTGTAATATGTGAACCTTTGGATAAATTTTTATAACGTTCCTTTATGGTTGTATTAACGTACCCTTAGGAGCGCAGACGGTGGGCAAACTGGCCCCAGTTATACTGGGACACTGATCCGTCCTCCCTCACTTTTCTGTTCTTCAGTTCTTCATGTTAGATGTTCCTGGTGGGAATCGTCTGATTTACTCAGTAGAATTTGATTTAGTAACTACTAGTAAATAGCATAGACGTATTCAGCTGTCTGAGTAATTGGATTATTTATATTACATTTACAATCCAATATAGGAAAGATCATTTCAATTCGGAAGAATTTTATATATTAACTGATATATTATATTTTGGACCACCAGAAGGCAGCAAAAACCAAGCTAAGTCATTTTTGCTGGCAGGAAATGGGATTTGTTGTGGAATACAAAGCACAAATAATCATTGACTCTGTCATATGTATTTCTGTCGTTATTTAGAATTGTAGTTGTAAGGTACTCAGTTGGCGTACCGTATAATGTATTCATAACCCACTGTGTTCGCCCCCGAAGTAAATTATGCCCAAGGGCAAAAGAAAATTAAATCAATCACTCCAGTTTTATTCACATGACAAAATTAGTATTAAAACAAGTGTATGTATGAAAAACAGCACACTTAGCCTTGGTTCTGGGACAGTGCTGAGCTGCTGTAAAAAGCGCTGAGTTCATGGGTAAAGTTTTTTTCCTTCTACTTCTTCTTTTTCTTCATAGAACTCTCCAGGCACTTGAACTTGCCACCATTTGGTTCAAAGATCACAGCGGCATCAGTTGCCTTCCAGGCCAACAAGCATTTCTGTTTAATCTTTTACCTTTCCAATTAAATGAGAGATTTATCAGATTCATGGGAATTGGGAACCTAACCTAAATTATAGCTCTAGTCCCTGCTCCTTTGAACCGCCTCAATAAGGTAAAAAAAACATACTCCATATTCTCATGCATCTTATTTACAAAATCACTCAAGTCTAAAAAACCACATCAGTACTCTCACGTTGCAGGCCGTCTTTGTCTATAAACTTCCTTAACATATTAAGGTAGTCTGTAATGATATTGTCATTGCAAAATTAATAGCTATGAAATATTAATTTAAAAAACATTTTGGTCTATTATAATTATATAATGTATTGTTTGGTTGTGGTTTAATCTCACTCTGAGCATTATTAAATCATCTGTGAAAACTGGATTAGAAGGTCAGTAACCTTTAAATGTGGTGTATAACATACAGTCCTGTTGATTGACATGGAGACTAATACAATCAATTATGGAATCAGAGGCCATTAATTATTAAATCTAGGCCTACTAAGAGAACAGTCAGTTTTAAAGATGGAAAGTGTTTAATCTGCCATAATGCATTTTGGAAAAGTGTTTCATCCACAGAGACAGTTCTGTAATTGTCCCCTCCTTTGTGCTACAGGCAGATTATTTCTTTATCTCAAGGGAAGAAAATTAGGCCTAAGGAATATAGACATGTAGTTTTGTGCAGAAGTAATTTCAGTGCTTCCTTTCAGTCCACCTAAGAATTCCTAGTGCCTGTTATGTCCACCTACAGTTCACCGGATTCAGCTAATTACTGCCATGAAGATATTTAATTAGTTACATGTCAGGATCGGTGCCCATACGGCACTGTCCCAGATATCTTCTCCCCATTTGGCCACCAGGTGTCGCTGTCCACCCCGTTTGGTGTTACCCTAGTGTGTTTCCCAGCTCCCTGGTCTGCTGCATAGCTTAACAGGCTAAGTGGTCTGCCATCATCCAGCATCCCCTTTTGTTGTGGGTTCGAGGCTGGCAGAGACCAGTCCCAACTAGTTAGTATAACATTCATATTGTGTTCATGTTTTCTGGGCGTATATATTTCAGCTACAGTTCCTTGCTTTGTTCCCTGTTTGTAGCATGTTTAGTTTTCCTTGTTTTAGTTTCCTTTGGTGTTTTAAATCTTCTGTATCTGTTAAGTGACCTCACCTGCTTTGTTGGTCCTAGTTTGTAATAGCCCCCGCCTGTCCCTTGTTAGCCCTTGTTATCTGTGTATATATATGTACCTGTCCTTACCTTGTTTCCTCAGTTGCTCATTGTGGTTGTACGTATGTACGTCCGTCCGTCCGTCCGAGTTCCTACCAGTACCTATGTTTTTAGTGTTCTGCTCTTTGTTTGGTCTCCATGTCTTATTGTCCGTGTCTTCTTTGTTGTAATTTTAGTGTTTGTTTACCATATGGTTAGTTTTTGTTCTTGCCTACTTGTTTTGACCCCTTATGGCCCCTTTGTTTACTGGTTCTGCCTTTGTATTCTGTATTGTTAATAAAACCCTGTTTGAGAGTTGCTACATGGATCATCCCCCCCTTTGTCATGCCCCGCTGTAACAGTTACTTTCATCACTTCATCTGGCAGAAGTTCGTGAAGAGCTTCAGGAATCCGCCGTTGCACAACACGACTCTAATTTTCTGGGGGAACATCTTTGAGCAGTTACTGGGGAATAAACACAGGGGTTGGTGCAAACGGGGCAGCAGACTTGGTGGAGTGAAGGATGTGTGCGTCTCACGCGACAAGAAAAGCTTGGAGGTATCCACAAAGCACTTTGTTGACATGTGTGTGTTTGCAGGAGCATACCAATGTCTAGCATTTGCTATTGTTTACCCAGAGAAAAATATAGATGTTTACATGCAAACACGTGTTCCGTTGTTGGAATATATCAATCAGGACCTATGATGACATCCCCTCTTACATTAATCTTTAGTGTGTCATTTGTGAAGGTTGATGAAGTAACGTCTGAATCTTTTCAAAATCTAAATTTTCAACTAAATCGAAGGAGATATAGTAGTAGTAGGCCTGTATTTTATGCTGTTGGAGTAGAGCTGCTTGCCACTGAGAAATGGTTGAGGGCTGTTTTAAAAAATCTGGTGTGGCAACTTTCTTCATTTGCTTCCCTTCCCCCCCCCTCGCTGTAATTGACCATATTGAATAAATATGATTGAATAAAGCTTTATCCAGCTACAGAATGTAATGCTCATGTATTAATCCAAATTAGTCACTGGTATTTTATCTTATGACACTTCATTAAGGGTTACATTGATATTAAATGGAAAAACGCTGTGTGTTTCCTAACGGTATACTGATATCTAATTTATACTTTATTATAAAACTGATTCTGATGACAATGCATGCTCTGTGCAGTTCATACTGTAGATCAAACGTTATAACTCACTAGTGTAGAAACAAAAGTAACATTAATGACTCTATAGGATCCCTGTCCTTTAATAGAAGGTGTGCCAGGTAAATATGCTTGAATCAGGGCTTCAAAGGCTATGTGTTCATGCAAAAGATGATTTTTCAGTTTCCTGAAAGGTGTTTTGTTTGCCCCTATCATGGTGTGAGAATTGCACTTGAAAAAAGCATTGCTGGAAAAAACAGCCAGCAAACACCATACATAATAGGATGGAGTTTCAGTCATAATCATATTACATAGCATTTGTTATCTGTAGATAACAATGCAGTGGTAGTTGTGATATTAATTAAGAAAGAGACTTTCTTTGAATTGTAAACAGAAGGCAACCATTATCTGCTGAAAAAGAAGGGCAATGAATATATTTTATAGCTGTCCATGCTTCTGAAGTCTGGATAATAAGATGGATGTCTGGGATTACTATTAACCAGTTGCCTGTTTTGTTGAAGAAGTTTTGAAAGACTGCTACTTCGACTGTTTAAACCTGGTTTGTATCAAAAGTACCAGGAGTCCACCGCCGAACACTGAAAACTGGTTGTTACTTGGTGTACAATGGTAGTCAGAGGTCTTCACATGTATTAAGAAAGGTTCTTACTTCTTGGTAACCTTGGTCTTATTTTATAAATATATTAAACTTGAAGTTCCCCATGTAGTCGCATGGCATTTGCAAAGGGGGAAGGTGTGTTACTGTTTGCTGGGAGACCTGCTTGGCATGGTTAGCATGTCACAAACTTGAGCTCATAATTAAGTTTCTAGGGACGATGAAGTGTCAGAATCCAGTTTCTGCACGTGTAATGCAAATTCTTTGCAGAGTAATTCCTCATTTTTCTGCAAAATCGTTTATCACTGGCTCCTGCAGCCAGCAGTCTTCGCTTGGCCTGAGAACATTTGTTCCTGTCATTCTCTTGTCTCGTAGGGCATCCATTTTTACAAGTCACAAGATACCAATATTTGGCTTTTATTTCTAGAGGGATCTTTGGATGTGTTAGAGCCAGTTTGTGCTGGTGTCATCTATTTGTAATGTCTGTCTTCCCCATCATAACTGCAGCATGCAGAAACTCCTAGCAAGATGATTACGTTGTTAACTTAAAAGCCTCAAGTTCTTTTGAGACTTGGACTGTGAACATGGCATTATATTCACATATTCACTGAGGACTAATGCTGCACTACGGCTATATCACGTTATAACGCTAAGAGCAGACGCACGGCTGAGAAAGGTGCACCTCAAGGCTGCGGTTATCCAAAATATAAGAGAATCTAAAATCACATCAAAGGAGTCCGGAACGTGGTAAATCAGCTGTAACAAATAGCCATTTATATTACAGTTATGGTAATGATTATCGAAAAATGCTATAAACAGCCTGATATTTTCATTTGGAGAGGTTGAAGACCACGTTTGATTTTTTTAAAAATATATTAATATCCGGCTAAAAATTTTGTGAGAAAATAGCTTAGACGTAGAATGGTAATTCGCCACAACAAAAAATAGTAGCTTAATTAACTTGTACGATTTTAACGTTTGTGTTTATAGATGTATATTAATAAGGTTAACAGTTAGTCTCCGAGCGTTTTATTACAGTATTTATCCGTTCATCACCCACTTGCGCCTTTTGTGTACGCGGATTGCTTAGGTGAGCACGCACACCCCTCTTCTTACGCCGTTTGCGTAAGAGAGACCGCACATCCTTCTGCGTACGCCGTTTGCGTAGGTGAACACGCACAGAACTCTGCGTACGCCGTTTGCATAGATGAGCACGCGCAGAACTCTGCGTACGCCGTTTGCGTAGGGTCGCCGTTTTGCTTCCCGGTCAGCCGGAGAGAGAAGAGCGACGAAGGCGGCGGACGACAGCGCAGCGCTCACCATGGCTGGAGCCGTCCAGTAACTCCAGAGCATCTCGGACACGTCCGCAGTCAAGGTTAAACCGAACGTGCGCCACTAGCACGTACTAGAGCAGTCACCGTCTGGATTAGGTGGTACTTTTCGGACGTGGTGTTGGTTACCTTCGGGACCGATATCGGCAGTGGCTGTCGGTTCGACCGTCCGTCGGGTGTCACCGGTGGCCCTAGTACAGGGGACCGCGGTGGCTGCGGCTCGTTTTTTCGGCTGTTTGGGGGTTTCGCAGAATGATCCGCCCTTTTCGTGTTTAGCTCGTGTGTAGCGGTGACGTTTCTGCCGTATTTCTACCGGTGCTGTGTGGCGGGATGCCAGGCAGCATGAGCCCGGTTCGGAGGGGACCCGGGACCCGCTTGGCCGTCAGCCCCTTTTTCTAGGGGTCACTTTCCTATGAGATATGTCATATTTTTGCCTCAGGTTTCAGTTTAATTTTAGTAAACTGTGCCGGCGAGGTGTGGCTCATCTCTACACTGTGAAAAAAACGCTTGTTTTTCTTCCGTTATCATTTAGAAAACTAAAACGGATCTTTATTTTTAATCATTAAAATGCCACGTGTTAATATTTAATTGCAAAATTCGATTATTTAATAGTTTATCGCGAATCGTTAAACGACTTAATCCTAATGGAGGTGGATTTTTTGTCGTTTATCAACATCGTTGTGGCCATAGCACTTTTCTTAAGGGATCCGTATAAGTTATACCATAAGAACAGTGTTCGTTTGAGAAATGTGCTAGCGAATCTTTTTCGGAACAGCTTTGCATGCTGGTGCATCTGTCATCTATAGTACTGCATATTTTACTTAAACCAGAAATTCTCTGTATCAGTGCTTTATAGGAACGTCACTCTCACACTGAGCTCCCAGACTCCGGATTTGGGTCAGTCGCCAAGGTAGGTTGTCTGGATCAGGCTTGTGTGACACACTATGATGTGGATACATTTTTTGAAAACCTAGCAACCCCCCTCCCCAAAAAAAAAAAAAAAATCATTCCCTGTAGTTCCTGCTTGTCAGCAGATACTGACTGCTGACATTACTGCTGTTGCTGGAGCAGGAAATCATGCCTAGTTCCTTCTGCTTTCATTAGGCTTATTTATTTGCGTGAACTGTGGGCCCAGGTTTGGAAAACTGCAATTCCTGTTAGTCTGATTTACAGAATCATTAAATGTTATTGTCTTTGTTTAGAGTGTAAGAAAGATATACTTATCAGGTCAGTGTGTATATATATACTGTATATCCTGCCTTATTGCTATTCAGATGGTTGGGACTTTCATGTACAATGATAAGGTGTTTCCTGCTGCCCTTTCAATTGATGTTGCATTGGAGTGTGTTGCTGCTGCAGCTATGGATCTGAGCACGTACTGCTTGTCAGAAACATGGAGAGATCCATAGCGCATCAGTCGTTCTGGATGCACTCTGCTTGCAGGCCTGTCACCTTCCTTTACGCAAAGCCTGTGCTACCCTATGGGGGAGTGTCCTGTCCTCAACTGCTGGGGTAGCATTTAACACCAGTTCTTACAGCTAACTCTAACCCTCTTTTTCTCAGTTGTCACTCTTTCGCCATCAATTCTCACAGCTGGTTCCCGTCTCTTTAATCTCCTCTCATACCGTTTTAGCCGTTGGCATTCCTGGTTTGTTACTATGTTTGAATAAGTTAAAGTGTACTACGCAGTTACTGTTGGCTTTCAGTTTAAAAGCCCAGCTTGCCAGTTTATAAAGCATCAGACTCTTCCTCCAATGGTTCAGGAAACATGTGGACCGGGATTTAATTTAGCCCTAATGACCACAAATCATCAGCAATAGACTTGTTTTCTATTGTGTGGTAAACCCACTCTGAATGCTTTACAAACATATATTTGTTTATAAGATATGTAGAACGGTTTGGATGTCTGTAAAGCAACATAATGATAAATACTTCATTTATTGTTTAAAGCTTTACTCAGAATATTGAATGATTGTACCACAAGTGGACTGGACTTTCTCTTTCTCTTTGTGTGTATCTCTCTTTCTCTCTTTCTCTCTGCCCTGTCATT